CGGGGCAAGGGGCAGGGGACAGCCCCCGGCGGGGTCGTGCTGCTCCGTGGTGTGTAGCCATCCTGAGAAACGCCCGCCGCTCCCTGTCCCTCCTCCCGACCCTGTCAGCCCCCCAGCCACGGCCCACGGGACAGGAACCACCCGGGGTGGAGGCGTCACAGCCTGCCCCCGCTCCCTCTGTCCCGCCGGGTGACCCTAGGAGCAGCACCCCGGAGTGAGCCGTAGCAGCTGTGGCACGTCAGGACGGCGTTGTTTCCTGGGTGCAGGCTACGAGTCTCGAGGGAGCCGAGACCTAGCTGCGCCCTCATTTCAGCTTCTTGCAGCAACAGGCCTGAGCCAGAGGCCTTGCTCAGGTGCTGGTGCCCTGAGGGCGGTGGCGCTTGGGCAAGCGAGTGCTTCGTTTCTTGCACAGGGGCTGCTCCGGTGGTGGTGCAAGCTGCTGCTCCCTTGGCACAAGCTCGCCGAGTGAGCATGGGCTGCTGGGGCGGCAGCGGTGTAGGTTCCTAGGGGCTGCCATTTTGGTGCCCCTCAGAATCGGCTCCCAGGGCTGGTGTCTCGTTCATTCCCCCGCCCCTGTTCCCCCTATTGCATGACTACATCCTCGCCAAAGTGTTTTCCTACCTAAGCTTGCTCTTGCAGTGTTGAGAGCCTTACAGGATATCATTGCTGCTGACCCATGTTTTGGGCCCCTGAGGAGGCTGGCTTTGCTATAATGAAATGCACTTCAGCCCTCAATACAGAACCCTCCTCTGGCTGATTGCCTGTCCTGCTAGCCTGCCTTCTGGGATACCTTGGCCAGTCGGGGCTCCTTAGGGGGAAGCAGCTCTCCCTCCTTGCCCTGATGAAAACCCAACTTGCCTTGCATGCAAGGATGATGGAGAATGCCAGTGCAGACTGCTCCACTCCCCCATCTTCTCCTCTCCCATGAGCCCTGGGTCAGGTAGGCTCATTCTTGCTAAATGAGACCTGAGAAGGAGTATGGGGGGGTTCAGTGGAGCCCCTTCCCAGCCTGGGGAAGGATGGGAAACACTCCTTAAACTAGAGGCGCAGAGGGAACAGCAGAGACCAGAAACTGGACTCACTGCAACCAGGACTCTGCAGCCCGTAGCTCGTGGCTTGCACTTGAACAGGGTTTCTCAGCCCGTGGGTTGTGACCCAAAAGTGGGTCATAAGAATATATGAAAGGGCTGTGAACGAACTTTAAAAGTGGATTCTCCTTTAAAGGAGAAAACTGGGGGAAACCATCTTTTTCTTTGCAGGCTGGCAAAGCTCCAGGCTGTGAGGTGCTGCTTGGATGCCTCCCTCCCTGCCCCCCAGCCCCATTCACACCCCTCCATCCCAGACACCCACAGTGGGGGGGCTGAAGCTTGGGGGAGAGGGGCAGCGGGTCAGGAGTGAGGGGCACTGGGTCGGGAATGGCCACTGAAGCTTACAAATGGGTCCTGGTACAAAAAAGGTGGAGTACCACTGGCCTAGAACATCCTTGTGGAGAAGCAGTGCCCTCGGGCTGCGCTGGGAGCTGGTATGGGAGTTTCCTGTTCTGTCCCTGTGGGAGATGGCAGCCTGGGAACTGTCCCCAGTTATGGAGTGGGGATTTCAAAAAGCAAGAGCTTAAAGAAATAATACTGAAGAAATTTTCATGATTTGGGAGCCAGGCGTAACCTGGGGGGGCTCTGCACCCTAAGCTTTGAATTTTGGCAGTGAGTAGCTGTGAATTTGGCAGCATCCCTTTCCCCAGCACCTGAGTAACTCCAGCCCTTGGGGGAAAGCGGCACATATTAGAGATGGGTCAGAGATGATTCAGGCCCTCATAGGAGGGAGTCCCAAGCTTCCCCTGGTGACACTGAGGTCCCTAAAGGGAGCAGAGATCAGGGCATCACCACTGTTCCTTTCAGCCCTCCCTACTGCCAGGCCAAGACAGACTGGTCCTCAGAACTGGGTGTTTCCTCCCTGCATGCAGCTCTCCCATGCTGCTGCTCTGCTCGGGCAGCTTGGTCAAACCCCAGCCGCTGTATCTAATGACTCAGAAAATTGTTTTATCTGCTGGCTCTGAGAACTATGTCTCAGTTCCAGGGTGCTTCCGATTCCCCTCTGATTCCAGCTGGAGAATGTTGCCATCCTGATAGCATTGTCTGCTGGCTTGAACGCTCCACCCTTGCTAGGCGGCACCTCCAAGTTCTCTCAACATGTTCTTTGGCCCTTTGTGGCAATACTTACTGGTTGAGTAGGTTCCTGACCTCCCTCTCCAACTCCCCTCCAGTGTCATGGTGACCTGTTTAGGGTTCACCTTAGCTCCTGAATAATGCATCCTCAAAGGTATGCTCCTGAATAATGCAGCCTCCCTCCACCCTATAGAGTTGACCTCCTGTCTCTGCCGCCTCTGTCCTCTCTGTTGAGTTTAGCTACGTGGGAATTAAGTTGCAAGCAATCACAAAATAGAAATGGCAGCCTCCACCACTCCACTTGTTTTCCTAAAACTATTTATATTTTTCCTATTTTTTCCTAAACCAATTTAGCACGTGTGTATCGTCTCTGGCACGACTTTCTGAAACTCTCTGTGGCACGTTAGGCAAGGTGAGAGAAAAGAGAATGCTCTGGACAGAGCATGTGGTATCTTCTTAAAAAATGAAGATCGTTTTCTTGGAACACTGGCAGCTGCTGCTGTGGAGAAAAGAGAACTGTCTTATAATAGAGAAGAATAAATCAACGGTCTCAAAAGGTCATTTAGTCCAACCTTCCTCAAGAGACAAGGCCCTCCTGTGGACAGGATTTGATTCTGTACAGGGAAATGCATTTGGATTTCTGGTCCAGTCGTATAACCACTCAGGCATTGCAGGTACCCAAAATGTACTCTACAATCAGAGTGAATAAGTTGTGTGTTCAGGGAAGGTGTGTGTTAAGGTGGGGTACTGATATCCAACATGGCTGGATCCTCTACTGTGACCCAGCTCTGTAGAATTTAGTGCTTGAAGACAAGAAACTCTACTGGAATGCTGCATGTAAAGTGTTAGACAGAGCAGCAATGATGGTCTCTGGGTAGGTCAATGAATGGAGATTCAGGAGGCCTAGTGTCAGTCCCGGGCTTGGCCACAGATTTGCTGTGTGACCATAGGTACAGCACCTAACTTACCCATGGTGTCACTTCCCCATACATACCTGTATCAATTCCTGCTTCCACTGGTAAGAAGGGATCTTTCACTTCACCATCTTCTGAGGCTGATTCCACCTGTACCATGGGAAGAGTAAAAAAAGTCAGGTCGGATTCTGTTTGATCTGTGCTCCTCAGGATTACACAGCCACAGAATGAGGGGCAGGCAGCAGTGGTGGGGCTCTCTTCCCAGCCACAGTTCCTGGTGATGCCATGAATGACCAAGTGAAGCATGGGTCAGTGGATGGACTGAGGCCCCCTTCTCTCCTACATTCTGAAGTCAGGCATGCCACAGTCTTTCGTACAGAAGCCTCAGCTCAGCCCCTTCCCCGCCTCCACTACTTTTCCTCCTCATAACGTCTCCACAGTTTCTCTGTGCTTCCCCCTCCCTTGGGCTGTGAGAGTATCTTTCCTGCCCAATTCTGCACTTCCTAACACCTGCAAACTCCTCATAGAGCTAGAGAAAGTACAAAGAAAGGCAATCTAAAGGATGCAAGGAAGAAAAGGAGAGGAAGCACTAAGTCTCAAATGTACAAAGGGCTTCATAGATTAGAAGGGCAGAGAGAGACCAGAGCGATCAGTTAGTTTGATCCGCAGTGAAACAGCCTGCAAAACTTCAGCAAGTGCTATCAGAATCAACCCAAATAATTCCCAGTGATGCTCCAGCCTGTCTTTTAGAAATTAAGTCATTTCAGACGAGGGACAATTTATCACACCCCTGGGGAAGTTGTTCCTGTAGTTAATAACTTGTTGCATAACAAGAAAATGGCGTGCACCTTGTTCCTAAAACTAATCTGTCCAGTTACATCTTCCAGCCACTGCATTCTCTTCTGCCTCTGTCTGGAAGACTTAAGAGCCTTTACCAATTAGAAACTTTCCCTAAATAGAGATGCTTTTAGCCCACAATCAAATTGCTGATAAACCTCTTTTTTAAGTTGAATAAGTAGAGCTTTTTTAGTCTCTCACACTGAGAGAGGTTTTCTAGACCTACATACCTTCTTGTAACTTTTGTGAACCCTTTTTAGTGTATCAACATTCAGTTAAGCGTGAACATGAGAACTGGATACAGCATCCAATAAGGAGCTCATTAATACCATAGACAGTGGTAATAATGCCTTCATACTTGTGATCTACATTCCCTTTCAATGCATCCAAAGATTTTAATACCCTTCTTAAGTAACGATTCCTAAGGTAATGTATTACTTTATGTGATGTCCATGATTTTTTGCACATGCTTAAGTCTGCAAGATGTGGGCCTAGGAAGGCTATATGCATCACAGGTAACAACTAGGGTGTTCTCTGGGTATAACTAGGGCATTATAGACATTTTGTGGAAGACAGTGGGGTGGGGGGTGCTTAAATTAGCACGGCTCTGAGAGCATCAGTGTAACAGTGTCCAGAACATAGTGCATGGGCGCCATTTTTCAGCACAGGGACCTTGATACATGTGACACTGGAATCTGCTGGAGTGCAGTAATTAACAGACTCCAGCAGATTCAATTAATCGAGTCTGCTCCAAGACGCTGTAATTACAGCACATTGGAGTGGCCTCCCTTCATGTATATAGATTCCACTAGTTTTTACGACATAATACATATGATGGATTGGAGTAAAGAAAGAATAATTAGGGTAGAGGTTAGAAAAAAGCACTCAGTCCTACTCCAATTGAAGCCAGTGGAAAAATACCCCTTGACTTCAGGGATAGTAAGATTGGAGCCAGAGATCTCAACAGCTAGAGCAACTGGGCTGGGGAATGGATTCCACTGCACCGCTAGAGGCAAGATCTGTTTAGAGGTTACAGAGCAGATGTTAAAACTGAATGAAATAGTGAAGAGCCTGCAAAATGCAAGGACTCAGCTGGGGGAGCCAAGAGACTTTTTGTGGCCCAACTTCCTGGGATTACCAAGGGTTTTACAAGATATTGACCTCAGACATGTCAAAAGAATCTTCTGTATCCCACGCCTGGTGTATGGCAGCACGAATCTCTGTAAACAAAAACACATCCAGTCAGTTCAACTGGGACTGGTTTCTAGTTTTACGTCTAATGTTTTTAGATGTTGTTTTAGCATCGCTGCAGAACAGTGTCCTGCAAGCTTGTGTTCTAATGGGCCTGTCTAGGCTGCATTGTACTCCAGCAGGGAGTGCTGCAGTGAGATGCACCATGCCTGCTTCTGTGAATGCCACCTTCCCAAACTGATGCAATGTAACCACCCACTGGTGTGGTACTGGCCGCATCCAGGTCTAACTCTTGGGTGAGCCTACTCTTTCTCTCTTTATGCTGTCTTATAGCTGGGTATATGATGTTGGTTACCTTGTTCACAGAACACATCATTATATCTGTCATTTTATCATTCATTTCCTTGGCTTTGTTTCTCTGTAGCAGGAACAAATGAGAGAGGACAATAAATGTGTTTATTAATTCCTCTATTCTCCCTTCTTTACATGGCAACAGCTGTCTACTGGGTACGAATCAAACATTTAGCATGAACAATAACAGTCACCCATGAAAAACACTCTGTGCATGACCAGAGCCTTCTGGACAGGGTGGGATATAAATCTAATTAAATATAAAGATATAAATAAATAGCCAGTTCAGGAAAGGTCACTGAATGACAAATTAGGATAAGCACTGCATCCCCCTGAACACATTTCTGAAGGGCCAATGTGCAGTCTGGCCTCCTTTAGCTTTGAAGACCACAGGAGAAAATTCTGACTACCTTGAAGGCCAAGGGAGGTTTTTCAAGAAGTTTGTCACTGACTTCACCAGGGCCAGCATTCCCCACCTTGAGCCTAGAGGTGACCTAGTTTTGCTGGTTTACCCTGTGGCAGAAAGCCACCTTTGTTTCCCTCCCAAAAACTCAGCTCTGTGACAATTTTAATTAGGATGGACCCAGCCGAGAGAGACATCCTTACCTTATCTCTTTAGGTAACTTGAGCTGGGTACATTCCTGAGGGAGGGGGGAAACCTGCTCCCTCTGCCTAGGTGACTAGTATCGCATACCTGGGTGAGGGGCTTCCCTCCTGGTGGGCTAGAGTCTACCCGGCAACTAGTGATATATTTCAAATTGGTTGGCTGACAGCCAACAGGTGCTGACCTCCATTGGACCAGGTAAATGAGGTCACAAGGGCTATATAAGTTAAGGACTGCCCGGGAGGGGGGCAGCAGCCATGAGGGATACTCGGGAACAAAGAAGAGCTGTACCATCTGAAACGGGCTCTCTCTCTCAAAATTCATGATCAAAGAACTGCTTGCCTCCAGAGGGACTCTCCAACAGCCTCTGGATGATACTTGTGAGTAAGCTACCTGAGATCCACCTAGATATATAGCTTGAAGTAACTCAGATGCAAGATCAAAGGCTCCCCCAGCCACAGGAGTTTGCTCTATGGGATTTCTCTGATATTGCTCTACCCTGTACCCTATTCTAACCCTACCCTCTGTAACCAATAAAGTTCTCCTTTGGACCTAGTGTGGGAGACTTATTGGGAGCGGGTCTAGATTATGCCTTGGGGTCCCCTTGGTTCGGCTGACTAAGGGAGACCACTACTTGTGCTTCTGACTGAGGGAAGCATCCCAAATTCTTGAAGTGAATCAAGTCCCCTTGAGGGCTACTAGGCCTGTATTTCCCAGAGTGCGCAGAGCCCGAATTAAGTCCAGAGCTCTGGGTGGTGGCAGCGGAAACCTCAGGCTAGCGGGTGTGCTCCAGGAAGGGGGTTGGCCAGACGTGAGGCGCCCCTAGGGAGGCACTCGGAGCCTGGAAAGTGGTCGGGCACAGGGAGGTGGGTGGCTCAATGCAGGAGCACCCCTATTACAGATGTCAGGCAGGCTAGGATTTGGATGTACCTCTGGATGCACTCTGGACTGGACCTTGTGTCCAGAGAATCTGCCACTTGCTGAGTAGGAGATTACAGCACATCTCACTTCCATGTTCCATATCTGACCAGGTGCTAAGGCCTGCCATTGGGACTGTCTCTAAACACCCCCAGAGAAAGCACTTGTCAACCTGGTCATTTCTCCACAGGGAAGAAAATCAATTCACTTGCAGACCTTTTCTCCATCTCATACCAAATCTCCAGGGCTCTCTGCTCTCCCATGGCATGAGGCATCTGAACACTCTACGTGCTCCGGAGCTTTTATGGTTTTCAAGAACAGCATGGGAATTTGCTGATTAACACCCCAGCCCCTAGTGGAGGAGGTAAACAGTTTTGCCTCCATCTTCCAGATAGCAGAACAGGCTCAAAGCTACTACCTAGTAATGCTGAGTGGCATTACTAAGAACACCTTTCTATTTTGACCACCATCTTCTTTCTTCCATGACATGTAGGTTTTAAAATAGTTACTGACTGTACCTTCTTAGTTTTCTTCCCTCCTGCTTTTCCTCCGTCATTCTTCGATTCCTTGGGAGTATCTTCTCCCATTTTCATCCAAATGACGTATCTTTTTTTCTTTAATACCTAAGGATCACAAATGTGTCATGTTTTACCCGAAAGGAATAAATTGTGTGTTTTCCTATGTAAGACAGGTATGACAATTTTTCTGCTGCTTCCTTCTTTCCTGTTGGATACCGCTCCCCTTTATGCACATTGAGCTAAATCCCTCTCTATGTAGCACCCACACTATTATTTTCCCAACTTATTCAGCCCCCACCCCTCTCCGGTTTTACTAGTCAGCAGAAAGACCGCTGGCTATGGGCTGCGATGAGAGCAACATGACAGCATTCAACAGACTGTCTCTTCCTGCACCCAGCAACCTGCTCAGAATCACTGACTGCAAAGCACCATGTCCTGACACCTATGCCACAGAGCCCTGTTAGCTCCACTTTTTGTGAGCCATGGATTTGGGGGTTCAGTTTCTCAGCCAAGCCATGGCTCACTCTTCTTGTAGGTACAATTCTGCATCCTGAAATTATCCTCTTGCATCTGGTTTGTTCCTACAAAGAGCCACTGGCACAGATCTAGGCTGCTGATTACCTGACACAATGAACAGTACATTTTAAAATAGACCTAAATGTTGGGTGTAAACTACTTGCAGGCCTGGGGGTCATGTCCTGGACTTTGCTACAAAAACAACCATGCATAAAATGCTTTGCCCTCTGATTGTCTGTGTCGATCTCATTTGAATAAAAGCCATAGCCTTCCTTGCAGTAGGGTTTGGGTATTGTAGTCATAATGGTCCAAGCCATATTCAAGACTTGAGATGATTTTAGTGACATCTTCTCTTGGATCAACTGTGTAGTTGGGAAAGAATTCCCCACTTCAAATTTCTACTTTTTCTGTTGTGTTTTTCTCTCAGCCACAGTCTTTTTGCCCAATTAGCGAAGTTTCTGAGCACCAGGTACCCTTCTTCAGTGCCCTTGTCTAATGTCTCCCCCAAATTTTACACCTGGTCCAATAAATGACAACCCACAAATACACCCTTGCTTCTTGCTTGCACTGCCTTTATGGAGACACGACGTCCCTAGCCCCATTCTTATCTTCCTCAAACCCCTCCTCCTGCCTCACCTTCCCCTTCCTGACCCTGCATCTCTGCCTGAGCCCTCCCTGGAAGAAACCTGATGAAAATCCCAGTCCTTTGCTGGCTCCCTTCAGGCACAGCTCAGCTGCCCTGTAGAAACAGGGAAAAGGTGGGAGGAAGAGGCAGGAAGGCCCCTGTGGAATCAGAAGGGTGGTGGGAGGAGCTCTTGTTGGGTCTGCAGCAGTCTGCTTGATCCCCAGAGGCTGAGACCTGGAGCAGCACCTTTGTTTTCAGTGCAGAAGCACCCAAGCCAGAGTCACAGACAGCTCGGCAGACAGAAAGAGCTGCAAGGGGATGTGGGGATCAGAGTACCCCCCAAAGGGGTACAGCTGGGTATTTTGTCTTGAGCCCAAACATTTCAGGGGGGCTGAACTGGCTGAGATTTTGCAGAGCTCACAACTGGCTTTTTTACATCAAAGTTACTACTGTGGTGTTGCATGCTAGAGCTCTGTGAGCCAGGTCTGAATTACAGACTGTAATTGAGAAGGTCCACAACCCTGAACTCATTAACCACGAGGAAGGGTGATGGGGGCCAGGCAGAGAGGAGCCCGACTGCATCACTTGCCCGAAACCCAAGAGTTTCTGGGGGTGGCACCTATGGGGCAGGCAAGGAGGGATGGACAGATCAGAGGTGGCCCTGGGACCACAAATAGGAATCAGATTCTTTCTCACCTGTATCAGCCTCAGCCACAGGGACCTGCAACCATGAAGGTCTGTTCACGTCTGAGCCTCTGGCCTGGGGTGCTGGAGCTTGCCCCTATAGGCTGATGTCAGCCCTTAGTGAGGTCACTATCCCTCTGCCCAATGCCTGCCAATGCATCTCTATGAGCTCACTTCCTGCCCCACCCTCCCAACTTAGCTAGGCTCATCCTCTACCCCACTGCAGCCCCTTCGCTGTATAGTCCAGTGTATCTCACATCCCACCCCAACAGTGCCCACTGCCAGGGGCTGGAGAGTACACGAGAATCCCATCATGGACAGTGGGGACCCAACCTGGACAGAGGGGACAGTTCTGCCACAGTCCATACAGTGAATGTCAGCTGCCCAGGATTTCAAAGACTAAAGACAGAAAGGCATAGATGCCACCCACCCCACCCCAAGAGTGAGACATCCTTGAGAGGAGCCTGGACTTCCCACTGCAGGATGTTGGCTTCAAACCATACCAAAAATGATCCCCCCACCCCCCCCAATCCCACCTCCATCCTTACAGTGGCAGCAGCTGTGGCTACTCAAGCTTGTGCACATAACAAGAGCTGCCTGACTCACGACCTATTACTGGCTCGTACATGATGGGCCTGGCAGCAGGTAGCTAGGTCTCTTCCCAAGCTTCCTGGTGTCCCTTGGCAGTGTTGATAGTTGGTCACTGGGAGAGGTCTTGCAGCATCCCCACGTGCCATGAGGCCAGGCTTGGAAATGGGAGCCCACCTGGCAAGGAGCTGTTTGGGGAGTCCCACACCACTGCTGCCCAAGCAACTCCTTATTTTGCTTCCTAACCAGGGTTCCTCTTCAAACCTCCCTGTGGTTTCATCTGTCCCTCCTTGGCCTGCCTCACCAAGGAGAACTTGCATTTTTCTTCAGCTTCCTAGATTTAGCTAAGAGGATTGCATGTGGGTGGGATTATTTGTGCTAAGGAATGCTGCCACATACCACAGCACTACAGAGGTCAGTAGCTAAAATTTAGATCCCTCTAATATCTTCCTCAATCGCTTCTCTTTATCGGATCCCCAGGCTTTCCAGTATATCCACAAATGCAGTCATCAGTGATTGCATCTTTAGAACCAAACCCTTAAAAACCAAACAAAATTCTCTGCTTGTCCTCTAATATCTCCTGGCAAGCAGCTACCAATCTCCTCTTTGATTTAGGACCCAGGAACTGGGAGATGAAGTAATGGGATCAAGAGTCTTGTAGGGGAATAAGGCGAAACATGGTAGGAAAGCTACCTGATCCAGGGCACGTCCACAGGAACTGAGAAGAGGGGATGGGGGAAGGGAAGGAAGCCATGTTACAAAAAGAGATGAAGAAGCTAGCAGTTCTCTAGGAAGTCACTGAAAATAGGACTGCTCAATGTCAGTCTCTTTTAGGAAGAGTCATTAAAATGTAACGTAACTGTACTTCGAATCTCAGGCTGCTTGTACACACCACAGGGGTTTAATTCAGTTTAGTTCTCCCTAAATTGAAATGGTGGGTTTTTAAAAACCCTGCTTCAATTTAGGAAGAATTAAACTGAGCTAAACCCTCATGGCGCGTACACAAAGGGGAGCCTGATCCTTACCTGCCTCTTCGGTGCTGGGGGGTGGGGACTGAGCTGCCAACAGGCCGAGTGGCACCCATTTGCTGGCTCCCAATCCCAGCGGTCCTGGGGGTCACCACAGCTGCAGAGGGAAGCACTCGCCCCCTCCCCAGCTGCGGAGGGAAGCACTGGGCCTTTGTATTCATATTCAAATTATAATTTGTCTCTCTCAGAAAGACAGCTTCCAATTTTACTTTTAATTTGTCGTATTTCCATGTTTGTGTTTGGGATAACAATCCTATTCACTCTTACAACCCTGTTTCATAGCTCATAGATGCTAGAAAAAGATGCTATACCCAGATCATTTATAAAGTTTTTTTGTTTATGATTATTTTCACTGTTTCAGCAGGTATAGGAAAACGATTGAATACTTTAACTAAATACAGATAGACAAATTGCCCTCTGAAAAAAAATATGCCCCCACTCTCTCCCGCTCAATTAAAATACTTCTAAAGCTTGGCGTCTGATTGGTCATAACCAAAGAAGTCTCCTAGCTGTATTTTTGGGAAGATATATTAAAAAAAATCTATAAGAGATGTAAGGAATCACTTCTGTACATGCTACAAACATTTGCAATGAAGTTCTGATAAACTGACATCACACAGGATGCAGAGTACTGATTGTGACAGTGGTGCTTAACTGGCTGGTCCTGTGGGCTGAATGAATGGTATGGGGCTGTCTACAGGCTGGAGCTGGCTTGCAGGGTCACTCCATGTGTCCAACGCCATGTGCTTGGCCCAGCTGTGCATGCTGGATTGGCCCTAGTGCACAGGGCCATGTCATCCAACCCATGGTGCTCCCATGTCTAAAAATTTGGCAGCAGGGGAGCTGCAAGTAATGCTGCCACTGCTCTCCCATCACTATATTTTCAGACCTGTGGGGACCCCCTGGGCCAGATGATGACCTCACAAGCTGGATTTGGTCGGTGAGCCAAAGGTTGAATACCTCCTTCCTAAGACATGGCTGGGAAACGTACTGCTGCTGGGACACTGAGAACTGTCCTTATTAAAACAGAATTCTTCCTAAGAAACCCTTGATCTATAATCAACATTTTCAGATCCAAGAGCCGACAGGATGCTAACTCCATCTTCAGCAGCCTAAATAAAACTGATTTTCACTAATACCTTCAAATGCCACTGCAATTAAGTAGAACAGCAGGTGGTCTGCATAAGCTTACTAGCAAGTCTAATGCTTACTTCCATGAGATGTCAAATAGGCGTGCATTGATAGTGATTTTTGGGGGTTGATAATGATAGTCAATGTTTAAGGCAGGAGATTGGCTGATACCAATCCGATTTCTGATACAGCTGCATCTAGCTGGTTAGTCTGTTGTTGTGGAAGGGGCGGGGGGGGGGAAAGAGGGGGGGGGGGGGGGGGAAA